TACTGCAGCACTGCTGCACGCTGTGGGTCATTTCTAGCACTCACAAACTCACAATGGCATATGACTCTGGGACTTCTGTGGCTCTCTCTGTCTCTCTGTCTCTACCACGCAACCAAGTTTTATGTGATGAAAGTGTCCAATTTAAAGTTCAAACAACCCATAAGGATTTGTATAATGCATTTATGCAATGCAACGGTCTGTCACAATTTCAAAAGATGGCTATAAAGTGTAAGCACTGGTTTGCGTTTGGTAATTGGTTTATGTGGGTTCCAGGCGTTTGGTGGTGTCCTTTTTGTTTCCAGAACAAGGATTATGAATCTTTCTTCACATAGAAGTTTCAGTTTTTGAGGGTAGCATTAAGATGAACATTGATGATCTCCAAAGAAACAACAGAGATAATGACAACAAATGGGGTTTAATAAATAACAGGCAGAGGTCGTTGGTGGTGGTTTTAGTCAATAATGGCTGGTGAGGAATGAAATGACCGACATACACCAGCAAATTTGTGTAGTTGGAGTGCATTGAATGTGACAGACTGTAGAGGGTTTAAACTTGTTCTACATATATCAAAGAAAAGGGTTTTTATTAACTTGGTCGTGAATTAAGACATTGTTCATGATCAAATTCTACTTTCAGGCTTTCAGCGCAACCGGAACCGGGGACGGGGATGAAATTATCTGAAAGTTTAGGTTCACTTACAGACTGAATGATGTTAAATCTAAAATATCATCTCAATATCTAAATCTAAATTTGTCCACTTCTCTAATCTTATTTATTGAAAATGTGAATGCTTCTCAATTATTATGTTCTTTCCTTTTCAGATTGTGACGTTTATGCCTCGGTTATATTATATATATCATGTCATAAAATAAGTTATTGTATCCTATATTCTTCTTTTTGTAGATAGAAGTTAGAAGCTGCATCACTTTTTTTTGTTTTGTTTAGAGGTTCAAGATTTGAATCCATAACGTTTGATATTCAAAGTCGTGTATCAGCAGCACCCACTTAACTATTTTCTATTTAAACAACCGCCATTTTTCTTGAATCAAATGTACGGTAGGAATTAGACTATTCTATGCCCAAGTGGACAATTATCTCATGCCAGAAAGTATCTAATTATTCATAATAATTTCATGTACATAGAAGATTAAAAGTAAAAAACTAACCTTCATCATCCCGGCAGCGCACAGAATGAGTCCTCCGTGGGCAGAGACACCGAAAATGGTAGGTTGTGTAATTGAAGCCACACCTCCCTCCACTGTCTTGGCAGCGGTTGCAGTCACCAGCAAGCCAGTTCAGCTCAAACCCTCTTCTCAAAACCTCTTGTATTAATCCCAACTCACCGTTCTCACCCCCCCTTCCAGCATGAGCCACCACCACTTCTCCTCCACATTTGCGACTTCCAAATTTTGGATATTCATCCCGAGGCAGAGCCAGAACTGAAGTATTACTTCTGGTTTTGTTAGTTCCCTGATCAAAGCAACCGACTTTATACTTTGGAAATGACTCAACCACAGAAGAGTTGCAATTGTAGAGCAAAAAGAAGTCAGCTTGATTTGAAGCCAACTTGTACTGATCATTGGGAAAGGTTATGTTATGAAGTGATGAAATATTATCATTACAGGCAGTGCTGCTTAAGTAGCCTGAAAGCAGAGAATTTGAGACAAGAAGAGACTTGTTTTGGTAATCGATGTTGTGGATGGTGTAATTGTTACCAGACAATTGGAGAAGTGGGTAGGCGTCTTCACCATCTCCATGGCAAGAGAGCTGGAAGCCAGGGTAGCCACAGAAGGAAGCTTGCTTGCCTTGGATGTAGAATGGATAGCTAATGTCTTGGCGACCACAACTTACGGACACACTGCAGTTTTGGTAGTAAAAGTCCAGAGCAAAAGAGGCTTCTGTTAGGAGGAGAAACATCACAATGAGGATGCAGAGGTTTTGATTCATTTGGGATATTGTAAATTGTGGCGTGGAGACAGTGAAAAGGATAATAAATGGCACAGAGAGAGAGAGAGAGAGAGAGAGAGAGAGAGAGAGAGAGAGAGAGTGAGAGACAAAATATAATAATAGTAGTTTCGAGAGTTGTATTTGAAGAGGGTGGCTTTGACTTGATAACTGCCCAACTGGAAGCCTCTGGAGCTGACAGTTGACACTTTTTGAGCATTGGAAAGCTGTCTTTATAATCTGCCTCACATCTTAGACTCTTGAATTTAAGCCGCTAGTTGCCTAAATGGGTCATATTCTAAGAAAGTCGTACAACTTGACCAATGTCAAAATTCAACTTTTGCTTTACATTGCCTTCTCTACAGGGCCACACACACACTTTTACTCTGAATTTGAAATGATAATCACCGTTCACGTATTCAGAGCACAAGTCATTCCAATTTGAAACTGGTAACTTACGCTATGATTAATCAGAAGGAAAAAAAAAAGGCAGAAGAAGAAGAAGACGAATTTGATGCTACACATACACGTAGTGCTCGTTTAGTGCTTAGGATTTGATTAGGTTGATTAAATCACTAAATCTAAAATTTGTTGAAAGAGGAAATAAAAGTAAAGGTGTAATAGTTTTTCAATTTGGGGGAACTAAGGGGGATAAGTTAAAAGATATTGTTATCATACCATATTGTGGATTAGATATGATACATTTTCTTCATGAGTAATTCATCTTCTATCTTCAACTTGGTAAAAAAAAAATTCATTTCTTCCCTAAACATGCTGTAAATATAGAGAGTTATTTTATTTAATTCAATACTAGACACCAAACTAGCACGTATCTAAATAGTATCTGCATATTAATGAAAAACGTAGCCACTAGTAACTACTGCTAGCAACCTAAACAAGCGACTTGGTCTCAAATATGTACCGCACGTATATAAAGCAGTCACATGATGCGTATGCATCTTTCTTCCCATGTACATTTCTATACATAAACAATCATGTAGAATTTTCAGAGTCAAATCCTCATATACTACTATCACGGCACGACTGATTCATTTCAGCCAAAGTGGGGTGGTTTTTGACCCAAAAAAAAGTGGGGTGGTGATGATTTTGAAACTTGTGAAGATCAGAGTTATACAGACTATTTGTACAGAAAATAATGGCCTGTGTTGTGTTGACTTGGAATAAATTACACAAACTCACAAGGCTCTCAGGGATTCAAGATACTGACGATCTATTATTTCTCTATCCGTTGTTGTGTCTTGTGTTTCTTCAAGTGTTTGGTGTCCACGCGTTTTTGCCCAACTCTTTTTCTGTCAAAGTCTCAAAGGGGACTTTCATCCTAATGGCAGTGGGAAATTATGCTGAAAAGTAACACCGACTAGTTCAGGGATATTGATTCCTTTTTCTAACTTATCAATTCAAAAAAATAAAATAAATGAATTCTTGTAAACTAAGGAAATGATCAGTATATTTGGGTTAGACCAGTTGACCAAAGTAATTTGTCCGTCCTCTTGTATCATAGTTCGCTCTCTCTCTCTCTCATGGGTTAGACAAGTTGACAAAAGCAATTTGTCTATCATCTTGCACCCAAGTTTAATCTCCCTCCCAATACATTGGTAGTTTAAAGTACCGTTTTATGAAAAATAAATAAATAAAAGAAAATGGGGGAAACGATCTCAAGAGGAAAAAAATAAAGAAAATTGCAAAGTAAACTAGGCTAAGCTGGCCCACTACGTAACAATTTCATAGATGCAAAATGGGCCAATCGCAATTCTCAGCCCGTTATCATTTTTTCCCCTTTTGGTTTTGGCAGAAACGAGGAATCTAAATTTTACACTAATCGGTTTCGTAAGAGCATCTACAGTAGGAGAAATTATAGAATAGTACGGTATCACCACGTCAGCTGGTGACACTTTCATTCAAAAATTGTCATGTGTATTATTTTTATAAGAAATTAAACTTTTTGTTCCAACTGTATTTGAAACTTCAATTTTACCCTTTAAATTAAAAATATTAAAAGAAATAGAAGAGAAAATGTTCCAGCAACAATCGCTCGCCCTCAATCTCACTGTCGTGTCGTCGCGCTGCCTCTCATGGCTGCCGCCCTCATCCTCTTATTTCATTCCTTTGTTTCTGTATTTTTGCAATCAGACCACATCCCATCATTGCCCTTCTCCGCAATTGTGCCAAGTAAGCTCATTTCTTCAACAAACAATACCGTGAAGAAGACCCAAATCCCATTTCAATTTGTTAATCAGGTGCATAGCAATTTGCCCAGTCCTGCAAGCATCAAACCCATAGTAGCAAGTCTTTCAATCACCATGTGTGTGTTAGACGAATTTTGTCACTCCGCCGGCCCTTCGTCTCTCTCCCTGAAACTGCAACTTCTTTTTAACCTGTGGAAGCACCTACAAGATCTCTGTCCATATTCAAACAAAGAGGCTTTAATCATTATCAAATTGAAATACTAATTTACTGAGACATTTGAATGAACATCAAGTAATGGAAACACAGAGAGGGAGAGCCGTCGGATGATGGTGTCAGTGCGATGGTAGGGGTTGTTTTCATTTTCTTTGTTTCTCTAACAATTTTTTTAATTTTGTTGTGAAGGGTAAAATTGGAGTTGCAAATCTAGCCGGAATGATAGTTTATTTTTTTATAAAAATAATACACATGGCAAATTTTAAATGGAAGTACTACCAGCTGACGTGGTGATACCGTACTATTCTATAATGGCTTTTTATCACAAATGGTCCTTAACGTTTACAAAATTATCACGAATGGTTCTTGAGGTTTTTTTGTGACATTAATAGTCCTTAATATTAGGACTTTTTATCACAAATAGTCTCTGTCATTAGAAATTCTGTTAAGTGTATGATATGGAAGATAAGTGGAGTCCACATATCCAATCACATTGTGACATGTGGATGAAAAAAAATAAATACTTTTTTTTAATGAAAATTCCATCCCCCCCCCCCCCCCCCCAACACATCATCCTGAAGCACACATAGATGGAGACAACCTCCTATCACTTCCAATGTCAAACTATACTGAAATTAATTCTTTGCTAGCAAACTAGGTAGTGATGATGGCCGAAATTGTTCTCTTTCAAAGTCGAAAGATTGTATAACCTTGGAACTTGTACTTCTACCACCATAGGGAATCCAATGAACAGCTCCATGAAGAAAATTATTGAACGATAAGTTATTAAAATCCCCATAATGAGGGGGTCCAATGCTTCTCCATGCCCCTCCTGCGCCAATGGTATAAATCTCAGCCTCAGTGTTCGGGTTGTTCAACTGAAACACCTTGTACACATTGGTCCCAATGCAAAAACCAAGTCCAACAATAAGCCGTTTGTCGTTTCTATTAGCAGGTGGAATGGTGATGTACTCCCCCAAAACAGGGTGCACACAAACAGGGGGAAAGCCTTCATTAGCTCCAAAACAAAGCAGACCATTACATGAGTTTATCAAGCGAATTTCTAGCATGGCGGCATCAACTGGCGGTAGAGTATTTCCGGGAGAAAAGGTTATTTCCTCGAGCTGCAAATCTGAACCAGGAGCAGCACATGCTTCTACTTCCAGATGGGTAAAAAAACGTTCCATTGGTTTTGTTAGAGGGGGAGGGAGGAAGGTCTCAATCAAGATGCCAAAGGGTGATCTTGAAGCATGGAGATAAGTAAACTGAGGGTCATAGATTATAGAAAGCCACGCTTTGCACACGCACCTGCAGTTGAAGAGGGTCTTGACAGAGAGCCTTGAGAGGATGTCCATGACTATACCCTGTGGAAGTTGCAGGTACCTTTGGGAGAGAGAGAGAGAGAGATAGGCTAAATGGATTTTCATTAAAAAAAATATTTATTTATTTATTTGATTCACATGTCACTATGTGATGGGATATGTGGGCTCCACTTATCTTCCACATCATACACTTAACAGAATTTCTAACGGCAGGGACCATTTGTAATTAAAAAAATCATAACGTTAACTATTAATGTCACAAAAAAACCTCAAAGACCATTCATGATAATTTTGTAAACGTTAAGGACCATTTATGATAAAAAGCCTTCTATAATTTCTCCTACAGTAGGAAGGTGTAAATTCGGAGGTGTAAAGCCATGTTTATATCTCCTTTACACCTCCGGGAAATACAAATATATATATATATATATTTGGTATTAATTCATTTTTTGTGTTAAATTTTTTTGTGTATTAGGTTTAATTATTTTTTCTAAACAAATCAGACTAAATTTTGTTAAATTCCTATATGATATAATTTAATTCAATATGATGTAAATAAAATTAATATGAACTGTTGGTTTTGATATGAATTTATTCTTCACCACCGATCAGTATAGTTGTTAATTTCATATTTCAATTTGAATGAAATTTGGCCATACATTAGAGAGTTGTTGGAGAAGGACTTAGTACACATTTGCATCATTTTTAATAAATTCCTCATATTAATAAATCTCAATCACGCCCTGAGCCCACCATTTTAATAACTTCCTTATCTTTCAGGTAGATTTTCTCTCTCCCCTCTCTTGGCTTTTTTGCTGCAGAACCCACTTGGCTAAGTCTAAAATTAGATATACATCTTTTTTCTCATATCACAGATGTGATGTACATTTACAACCATATATACATTTCCATTGCAGGACATTTCGGCAACCAAATGTGTATATTTGACATACACCCTCATATACATCTTATCACTGTAGATGCTCTAAGCAGCAATTCCTTTTCCTTCGAGAGACTTCTTCTTTCTTCTGAAGCAGCTTTGCTGGCGTTCCATTCCGGCAACGACTGTCGTTTCATTCCTGTGAAACATAGACATGCAACTTTCTTCTTTGTTCTTCTAGCTGTTAGTCACCAACGTTTGGACATCATTTGGTAAAGTGGATTATTTAACTATTTGCACTTACTGATCCTGAGTTTCATGCTTTTCTGGTAGCTTTTGATTGTTGCATGCACGAATTGGACAAAGTCTTTTCAGGAAACATAAATGGGTGTCAAGTGAAATGCACTGATCGGTTTAAAATCTTCCAAACCTCATTGAAAAGCTTGTTGCTTTAAATGACTAAGTTTGGTTGTTTTAGTTGTTTCCTTGTGGACTCCTAGTTGAGTTCATATCCTCATATTCATGAATTTGACAGAAATTTAGAGTGCTATAATAAGCAAGCAGCATCCCCGTTGTAAAGATTTTCGTATTTGCACTGAAAGATGGCATGGCATCTGTCTTGAAATTAATTAAGTTGCTATTTTGCAAGATTCAATGGAGGAAAGTTCGGGACTTTCTTTCTTGAAAGTAATTCTGGTTTTGTATTGTGTCTATTCTTTTATTTGCTTTGAGCTTCTTAGACTCGTAGGAACAAGTACTGCTTTTTTTCTTTTTCTTTTTTAATTTTATAATCTCATTTAAGAATTATCTAGCAAGTGGTCCAGAAAACATATAATTTTTGGGAGTTTCACTAAAACACCCAAAATGGGGGTTAAAATTATAAAAAAACCCAAGCACTATTTAAACATATAAACACACCCAAAACCCATCATTACACACACTCAAAACCCATTTATAAACACACCCAAAAAGTTGACTTTGGGGTTGATTTTGGGTGTGTTTCTATGTTTAAATAGTGCTTGGGTTTTTTTATAAATACATGTCTAGGATTGGGTTTATTTATAAATTTGTAATAATTTTTCTATCCGCATATATTGTGCAGTGAATTTCAGTTTTGGATTTAATTTCAACTTTCTATTGTGTAAATGCTAGAAGGATACTTGCCATTTTAAAAGAGTCCAAGGGCCTGTTCAATAACGTTTTCGGAGAATATTTTCTTAGATTATTTTCAAAGAATGAAAACAAGAAAACGAATTTCCATTTTCAGAAAATGAAAATGCGTCTGGTAGATTAATTAGAAAAATATCTTCAAAAAACAAAAATAATGAAAACTTGTTTTGTAGTACAATTTGAAATAATAATATATGAGTTATTTTTATGAAAATGTTTCCCATGAGAATGAAAACAACTTCTTTCTGTTTTCTACAAATACACATGAACTTGTTTTCATTTTATGAAAACATTCTCAGTGTTTTCTGTTTTTGGGCCACAGAACGTGTTTTTGTCTCATCTTATTATCTGAAAATGAAAACAACCCCTTAAAACATTACCAAACGGGGCCTAAGATTCTTTCTACTATTAAAAATGACAGTTTTCCTCTTGTCGTAAAAGCCAAAAGCAAAACCCATTATAATATAAATAATATATAAAATAAATTAGAAAACTTTTAAGGTAAAATAAAACTATAGAAACAAATAATAGGTAAATAAGAATAAATTAAGATTAAGAAAGCAAGCATGGTATGGTGAAGCACGTTAAAGACGTTCTAAAGTCTTTGTAGCCTCCTTATGTGAAAGTAATGACGGTCTATAAGACTCCAAGATACGATCCCTAATACACAGACTTAAGATCTGCTATGAGCACGTTCACAATCAGATAATGACCTCTAAGTCACAGCCGTTGCCCAAAAATAATGGCTTATGAGGTAAAAACAGATTGCATCATCTGTTCTAATGCTAGCAAAAATATTAGTAGCCTTAATCTGCCAAATGTTATAATCATTGCTTATAAGATAGAAACTTCCATCACAGAAGACAGCATCCTCAAATGGCTCACCATCCAGTTTATGTTTAAGCCATGATTCAGCTCCTGGGACCCAAAAAGCTATAAAGATATCAACGGTCCTCACTCTGCCACATGTCAGAAGATTGACGAAGAGAGTTGTTGAAATATTGTTAAGACTGTCAGACAGTTTTTAGCAAAAGAGTTAGCGTTCTGTTAGAGAAGTTAGAGAGATTAGGAGGTTAGAAACATATATACAAAGCTTTGATAAGCTAGTATAAAAACCATCACTGTACTGTGTTGAATTGATCAATGAATGAATACATCAGTTCTTCTCCTAAGATTTTCTGCTTCTCTCTGTTAAATCTCTGTTCAGTATTGCTATTCTGACAAGGAAGCAAACCATTAACAAGGAAGCAAACATAGTTTTCAAGGATGGGAAGACCCGAGAGAACCATCTTATGATAAAAGTTCCATGTTTTGGGAAGATCAGTTTTGTTCCTAGAGAATGGATTCAACAAGCTAATCTCAAGATAGAAACAGCCAATATCTTTGACTAGAATCAACCAATCTTGACATGGTCCTGAATAATATTATCTTCCATAAGCCTCAGGAAGCACCATGTCCCGCAAATGGGGACCTATTATGTGACAGTTAAGCTTGATAATACAAATTACCTCACATGGAATTTTCAGATGCAGCTTCTTCTTGAAGGTCATGGCTTATTGGGGTTTGTTGATGGTTCACGGCTATGTCCTGCTTGTTTTGATGAAAATTCTGATGTTGAAGGTGTACAAACTGATGCTTATACAGTGTGGAAAATGCATGATCGTGCCTTGATGCAATTGCTAATTGCAACTCTTTCTTCTACTGCAATCTCATATGTCATCGGGTGTACTAGTTCTCATGATATGTGGGTTCAGTTGAAGGACAGATTCTCTATTGTTACCAAAGCGAGGATTTTTCAGATGAAAAGTGAGCTTCAGAATATCAAGAAGGGTGCTGAACCAGTCTCTCAATACTTGCAAAAGATAAAGGATGCTAGAGATCATCTTGCTGCTGCTGGGGTTTCCTTTGATGATGATGATATTGTGATCTTGGCTCTTAATGGTCTACCCACAAAATTTTGGTTTCATGCTTGTGCTACTTAAGTCTACTTGATCAATAGAATGCCTTGTAAAACTCTTAATTTCAAATCTCTTAATTTCTTATTGTTTGGTTCTACTCCAACCATTAATCATCTAAGAGTATTTGGTTGTGCTTGCTTTCCTTTGCTCAAGCCTTATAATACAAACAAACTTCAGCCTAAAACTTCTACTTGTGTCTTTCTAGGCTATGCAGGACAATATAAAGGCTATATTTGTTTTTCTCTCACTACCAATAGATTGTTTGTTACTCGACATGTTCTTTTTGATGAAACTGTGTTTCCATTCACATTTGTCCATCCAGTCAGTATTTCTTCATCTCAGTCTCTCACTTCCTCTTCTCCTCCTCCATCTATTTCATTCACTAATACTGTCTTATCTCCTATCCCTTCTCTTTCTGTTTCCTCACATTCCCCACCCATCTTTGAAGCCGCTACACCTTTGAATGCTTCTCCTTCTGCTACACAGTCTCCTCTCCCTATTGATCCTGATTTTCAGCCTGAAAGTCTTCGTGTTATCTTGCCTCTGCCACCTGTAAATCTGCATCCTATGACAACACGGTCTAAGAATGGCATCTCCAAGAGGAAGGCTTTTTCTGCTTCTTCATCTGTTGATTTATCTACAATTGAGCCAAGTTCCTTCAAGGCTGCCTCTCAATCACCAGAATGGCAATCTGCAATGAGGGAGGAAATTGAGGCTCTTCATGCTCAAGGTACTTGGGATTTGGTTCCTCTCCCAGCTCATAAGAATCTTGTTGGTTGTAAATGGGTTTATAGGATCAAGAAGAATGCAGATGGTTCTATAGCTAGGCATAAGGCTCGCTTGGTTGCTAAGGGATTTAGTCAAGAGGAGGGTATTGATTATTATGAGACCTTCAGTCCGGTAGTTAAACCAACCACGGTTCGATTAATTCTTGCTCTTGCTGCTCAGTTTCAGTGGTCCTTATGGCAGTTTGATGTTAAAAATGCGTTCTTGCATGGGGTTCTTCAAGAGGAGGTTATATGACACAACCTCAAGGCTTTGAGAGTAAGCATCATCCTTTTGACCTTGTTTGCAGACTCAAGAAGTCCTTGTATGGTTTAAAACAGGCTCCTCGTGCCTGGAATGAACGGTTTACTAGCTTCTTACCAAGCTTGGGTTTTCAAGCTTCAAATGCAGATTCGTCTCTCTTTATTCAACATTCGTCACTTGGTACTGTGGTTTTGCTTCTTTATGTTGATGATATCATTCTTACTGGCAGTAATTCCTCTCTTATTACATCTGTAATTGGTGCTTTAACTCAGGAGTTTGATATGAAGGATTTGGGCCAGTTGACTTATTTTCTAGGGCTACAAATTTCATATCAGTCTGCTGGCTTGTTTGTGTCTCAAACTAAGTATATCAAGGAACTGCTTGACAGGGTTGATTTGCAGGATTCAAAACCATGTCCTACTCCTTGTCTCCCATATCACAGACTGTTGAAAGATGATGGCAAACCTTATTCTCATCCAGAGCAGTATCGAAGCATTGTTGGTGCTCTGCAGTACCTCACTTTCACAAGGCCAGATATTGCCTTCTCAGTGAATCAAGCTTGTCAATTTATGCATAATCCCATGGAGTCTCATGTTGTGGCAGTTAAGAGAATCCTGCGGTATTTGAAAAGAACTCTTGATTTTGGCATTTGGTTTAAGCCTGGTCTTCTTCATCTGCACGCTTATAGTGATGCTGACTGGGTTGAGGATCCTAATGATCGCAGATCTGTTTCAGGATTTATTGTTTACTTAGGCTCTAGTCCTATTTCTTGGGCTTCTAAAAAGCAACATACTGTCTCTCGTTCATCCACTGAGGCTGAATATAGGGCTTTGGCTATTGCTGCTGCTGAACTTGCATGGATCAGACAGTTGTTCTGTGATCTGCACGTCCCATTACATGTTCCTCCTTTAATTCATTGTGATAATATCTCTGCTATTGCTCTCTCTTCCAACCCGGTGTTTCATTCCCGAATGAAACATCTCTAAATTGATTATCATTTTGTCAGAGAACGAGTCATTCGAGGTGATTTACTTGTGCAACATGTCTCATCTGCGGAACAATTTGCTGACATTCTCACTAAGGGGATGTCTATTCCTTTATTCCAGCATTATTGTTCCAATCTCATGCTTGGCTCCTCCAAGCATGAGATTGAGGGGGCATGTAAAGATATCAACGGTCCTCACTCTGCCACATGTCAGAAGATTGACGAAGAGAGTTGTTGAAATATTGTTAAGACTGTTAGACAATTTTTAGCAAAAAGGTTAGCGTTCTGTTAGAGAAGTTGGAGAGGTTAGGAGGTTAGAAACATATATACAAAGCTTTGATAAGCTAGTATAAAAACCATCACTGTACTGTGTTGAATTGATCAATGAATGAATACATCAGTTCTTCTCCTAAGATTTTCTGCTTCTCTCTGTTAAATCTCTGTTCAGTATTGCTATTCTGACAAGGAAGCAAACCATTAACAAGGAAGCAAACATAGTTTTCAAGGATGGGAAGACCCGAGAGAACCATCTTATGATAAAAGTTCCATGTTTTGGGAAGATCAGTTTTGTTCCTAGAGAATGGATTCAACAAGCTAATCTCAAGATAGAAACAGCCAATATCTTTGACTAGAATCAACCAATCTTGACATGGTCCTGAATAATATTATCTTCCATAAGCCTCAGGAAGCACCATGTCCCGCAAATGGGGACCTATTTGGCTAACTTCCCCCCAATGGTGGTGCTGTAGGAAATTTGCTCTCTCACCTGATATAGTAACTAGTAAAGTAGCTCATCTCATCTGCGGTGATCGTGGCAGCGATTCTCTTTTAGCTATTTTGTTCCACTTAGCATATCACACTGTAGGAGCCTATTTCAGTGATGATGAGAGTTTAAAGATGGTCCATGTACAAGTTGGGCGTGCAGCTGATTAGCAGCAGCAGTGTACCAGGCTTTTGTAAGTAAAAAAATATCCCTGCGTGGTCGGTGCTTGCAGTAATTATATTTTAGAATTTTATTTTATTCAAAGTTGTTTGGGCGTCGAGACAAGGACATTCTTTTTATCATAAAATTGAAAGCATTATCTTTCCATTCATCACATGTGGTTCAATTTCAATACATGTCGGGTGATCCAAAATTCCATCAAATTGACCAATTCCATATTTTGTATGACTATGTTGTTGACACGTCAAAGTATTGTATAATATGATTGGATCCAACTGTTTCTCCTCGTGGAGGATCTGAAAACAACCACAACAAGAAATGCAATCGTGTTTATGTAAACAAACAATGTGTGAAGCGCATTAGGTTGGATGGTTTGTCGTGTTTGTCTAAATCACAAATTTATTACAAATAAATATGTAAGAGTTGCTTAAGATTGTCCAATTTATTGTTTTAAATTGTTTGAATTACGGTGCATATTAAGAGAAGTTAACAAACAATTTATACCAATTTTTTGCCAACTAATTTAAACAACGTGGTTGTGTTTGGCCAATAAGGTCTAATCTAGTGAGAAATAGCCTTGACTTACGGACTAGAGATTTCAAGTTCGAATTCCCACGACATCATAGTTGTGTGTATATGTATAAAAAATCACTCTCTCCTATAGTTTAGACAATTTCTTGTACTAAAAAGAAAAAAAATGGTTGTGTTTGACCATACACCTGGAAAATATTCCAATAACAATTAATTATTTTTTGATACAATTAATAGTTTAGTAAAAAAATATAAAATATAATGAACCATGAAACCGTTCTTATATCCCTTTCTCCATGTTTGCTAAACTTTTTTCTTGTTTTTAAATAATAGTTTAGTCAAAATAATAATAATAATAATAATAAACCATGAAACCGCTCGTATATCCCTTTCTCCATGTTTGCTCAACTTGAGATTAATAAGTCATGTTTTTATTTGCTAAACTTTTAATTGAAATGCGTTTGGGTTTATTTATTTAATTATTTTAAAGATGTAACGAGTTTGGGTTGATTAGGTCGGTCCAACTCAATCTCGTCGAGTCATCCTTAATGGACAACATTTCTCTTACGCCATTATATATGTTTTCAATGGCAAAACTGGAATGTCAAATATTTGATAAGAAATACAGTTTTAAGCATAATTAAGAGAAATATGAGATTATGAAATTGCTCTCAAGTTGCTGTGCATGTTGTGAAGGCATCTTTCTTACTATATTGATCATGTGACCGACACTTATTTCCAGTATAATATAATAATAAGGCTTAATTATGTACATGCCCCCTGTGCTTTCCAACTTATCTCAGATTACCACCTGTGGTGGAAAACGTCTCAAAGTACCCCCCAACGTGCAAAAAACTGTCTCACGTTACCCTTTCCGTCAGTTTTTTTGAAGTTCCGTTACGAATGTTACTGTTCATCTCCCCCAAAATTCCAGAACAGTAGCCCCTCCCCTTTGTTACTGTTCATCGCTTATTTACCCTCCAAAACTCAGAAATTTCTCCTAACCAACACAACTAGCAGCAAGAACAACTCGAGAGGTTGAAAAATCATACCTGGATCGAAGAAAATGGTGCTCGGAATCGCCCGAACGAGCAATGGAGATTTTGGGTAAAAACCGGCCAATTTCTTGCTTTTTTCGGTGATCCAGACGACGGTTGGCAGCGGCTGAGATGTGAGGGTGGTAGAGGACAACGTGCTGGTTCTTTTGATATCCATGTCGTCGCTTGGGGTGGCCGGAGGAGGCGATGGCAGCCCAAAAACTGGTGCGATGAACAGTAACAAATGGGAGGAGCTGCTGTTCTGGAATTTTGGGGGAGATGAACAGTAACGTTCGTAACGGAACTTCAAAAAAACTGACGGAAAGGGTAACGTGAGACAGTTTTTTGCACGTTGGGGGGTACTTTGAGACGTTTTCCACCACAGGTGGTAATCTGAGATAAGTTGGAAAGCACAGGGGGCATGTACATAATTAAGCCTAATAATAATTTGGGAATTTGAAATTAAATAAAACCTTCCAAAACGAAAACAATTACATCATGGGATTCTTGTGCAAAATGTCACACATGTATTAGACTACCAGCGCAAGCAGTAAAACATTGAATGAACATTATTAGATATAGTTTAATTGCTAGGCTTTGACCATTTCAGTTTGGCAATTCGCTGAGCTGACCTATTTGAGTAGAGTAGGTATTGTGGCAAAAAAAAAAAAAAAAAGACATCATACCATATTATGACAGTAAATTTGTCGCTTTGTATTTAAGTTCGAATCGTTCTTTTTTTAAATTAAATTTATTTAGAGTGATTTAGATCATAAATTATATTAAAAAAAATAACTTGTTATGTAACATGGATGTGTGTTACTACAAAAGTGATAAAATTTCATAATACATGGACGTGTGTTTCCAAAAAATAACTCTTGAATTTATGACAGTTTTTTTTTTTGGTCGACTTGAATTTATAATAATATACTAAATTTACTCAATAAACAAATAATAATAATAATAATAATAAATATGAATATAATAGGGGCGTAAAAAGTAAAAAAGATTAATATACTACGATTGTTGCTAGAAAAATTAGCACTAATTTATTCTTAGGGTAGGCGACCGTTGGGTTCGATCAATCAAAACGGGGGGATCTGACTGCAGCACTTGCGCAAAGGCCTAAAAGGCGCGTTGCCTCACGCCGTTACAAAGGCCGTGGGCTCTAAAGTCTAAAGTGAGAATTAATAAATGAAAGTCTAATCGTTTTCTCGAGAAAATCGAAAGGGGATAAGGAGGAAAAAAGACATCGTCCCCATCAGAGAGTATCTCACCATACACGTGTCAACGAATTTCCTCCATCACACGTGTCAGTAGTTGAGATCCTCACCTTAATGACTAATCCGAGTGGGCTCAATGTCACCAATCGCGACCCAGTTTAGTAAAAGTCATTAGATAACGCTCAAGCTCATGGCCCATCAATAGTTACTTACTCACACTCCCACACATTACCTATGTTACCCTTGATAAACTACAAATTCCCATTGATTCCAAGCATCACGACCGTATTTGAGTAGAGACAAGATTGTAATTTCGAAATATGGGTGCTCCCATCGCATTAAATCATGGGCGCCCCAAGTAGATGGCGATTTTTTATTTTATTTTTATAGAAAATAAAAATAAAAATTTGTTTTGTTCTTCTCCTACCACTGCGCAGTGCCCATCCATCCATTTATTCAGAGCCTTGCTTCACCATTTGCTTTCTTTCGCTTCCTCCATCGCTTCCCTTCCCCAACTATTCAATCTCTCTCTTTCTGTCCAACTGGTTTTACCAAATTGCCCCTGGAAACCTTCCCTACCCTACCCTTACCTTCTTCCACCAGATCCATTTCAGTCTCAGCCTCCATTTTAGGGTTTTACTATTTCGGTCTAGCCACAGACTCTAATCCTTTTCTCCGATCCGATTCGCCCCATTGTTTTCGATTAACTCTCATTTCTTACAAATCCTTGAGACGTCGATCCTCTAATTGAATCAATTCCCAGAATCGCTTTCTTCTTTTCCATTCCCGTTGACTTTGTTTCAGGGTTTAAGAGGCTACGTACGTACAAGGACCAGATTTAGGGTTCTCGTGCAAGTTTCTGATTCGGCGTTATTGCGATGTTGGGTACGGGGTTGCAGGTCACGCGCGCCCGGGGAGACGACCGATTCTACGACCCGGCCAGAGCCCGTAGAGCTCACCAGAACCAGAAAGCCGAGCAACTTCGGCGAGCTCAGAGCGACGTCACGCCAAGCCAATCGCCTTCGCTCAAGGGTAACCCTAACCGGGAACCCGAGAACAGGGTCGTGTCAGATGACCCTCCCAAGCCAGTCGCCGTGCCTGCTTTTGAGCCCGTTGTCAATCCCTTGAGTAATCTCGAGCGGTTCTTGCAGTCGATCTCGCCATCCGTGCCCGCTCAGTACCTCTCTAAGGTCTTCGTCTAAACTAAACAGAAATGTTAAATTTTCTTGGTTATTTTTCTCTTAATTTTGTGATTGAATATTTTACTTTTGGTAGCAGACGACGATGAGGGGATTGAGTACTTGCGACGTGGAATTTCAGCCATACTTTGTTCTTGGAGATCTATGGGAGTCTTTCAAGGAGTGGAGTGCTTATGGGGCAGGAGTGCCTTTGATTTTGAATGACAGTGACTCTGTGGTTCAGTACTATGTCCCTTATTTGTCCGGTATTCAGATATACGGCCACTCTATGAAATTGCCCACTAAGACAAGGTATACATTTTACTCCATATTCGTCACTTAAGTTGATCAATTGTAATGTTCCATATGTTGCCTTTTGAACTAGTTCCAGAGGTGAAAGTAAATTAATTCTATTTATTTTAGTTAATTTTATAGTCCCCTTTCATGCTGAGGTATGTATTTTTCTCATTCTAATGATTACTCAATATAGTATTTTGTCATTAATATCTCTTCTTATCCTTATCCGTTATTGATTATTTTTGCCAAGTATTTTATGGCTTGAGAATGGATGGTAAACGGATTTAATGGTTTGCTTATTCTTGCTACTCGTTGCATCTGAATCTGTATTTTTGACAGAATTGATTGATAGTGTTCTACTTAGTCCCCGCCCCCTTCCTTCCCGTATATTGCATATTGTGTACTCTATCCAAAATTTGATGGTCCTTGTGTGTGATAGGCGGCCAGATGAGGACAGTGACAGTGACTTCAGGGATTCTAGTAGTGATGGAAGCTCTGATTACGAAACTGATAGATTAAAATATTTGAGGGAGCAGCGGAATCCTCAAAATCTATCGAGTGAAATTCCTCGTAGGATAGACAGATTATCTCTGAGAGAGCCGCATTTTCCACCTCATGAAGACTGCTCTAGTGACGAGGGTGAATCCATAAATTCTCAAGGTTGCTTACTATTTGAGTATTTTGAGCAGGACCTTCCTTATTGCCGCGAGCCTTTAGCTGACAAGGTTATAATTGCATTTATTCTCTAATTCGTTACCATGTTTAGAACAATTATATTAAAATTTTGGTACTTGTAACTTTCCTTCCCTGTTTTTGGAATTTTTTTCTGAACTCTCCAATTTTACAGATACTAGATCTTGCCATCCATTTTCCTGAGCTGAAGACACTAAGAAGTTGTGATCTGCTGTCTTCCAGCTGGATTTCTGTTGCATGGTACTTTCAATCTTTGCATTTGTTTCCTGGGCCATACACCGTCACGTGACTAATTGGTTTTGGTATAATTGTTTCAGGTATCCAATTTACAGGATTCCAACGGGACCAACTCTAAAGGATCTTGATGCGTGCTTTCTGACGTACCATTCACTTTTTACACCCATGGGAGGTACTAATCAATTTTCACTGTTAGTTTGGAAAACCTGTGTGCATGGTTTTTCCGAGAATGGAAGTTTGTCCTCTGGCATTTGCTCTGTATAATTTATACACGTGAGAGCCTGGTTGTTTCATTTTGTTCTTCGGTCTAATTTTTCCACATGTAATCATATCTGATGACGTGGTCTAATTTTTTCACATGTAATCATATCTCACAACGTGGCGACAGAAAGAATATTATCCTAACTACATTCTGGAGTTATTGGTTTTCCTTATAGATGATATTTTATAATTTAAGCAATTTACACCCATGGGAGGTAATAATTAATATCATTGTTAGTTTGTCGTGTGCATGGTTTTTCTTATGACGAAAGTTAGTTCCCTGACATTTGCTCTTTATAACATGTTTGAGATGCGAGGCTGTTTCATTTAGTGTGTCCGTCTGATTGTATATTACTATGTGACGAAAAATTGAGTGTTACCCTAATTACTTCTGGAGTCGATTGGCTTGCATATATATGGTATTTTCTAATTTAAGAAATTTACAACTTCGGGAATTTTATTATTGTCAATTAAAGAAAGCTTTTCCATAATTCCATTATGTTGGATATATCTGTAGAACTCCGGAGTTATGTATTGCGCTTATCCCCAGCACTTGCATGCATGTCTCCGTGTCAAAATTTAATCTGGCAGACAGATATACTGCAGATGATGTCATTAGGTGTGAAGTATAACTAAAGTGCAACTGTCTCAGGACCACAAACAAATATAGAAGGGCTGGATGATTGTCTAAATGCCAAGTTGTTTTCTTTAGAATCATTATAGGTGTTGTACAATCATCTCTGATAAGCTCGTCTCTTCTTTTGATTACTCTTGCTGCTGTTGTCAAACTAAACTCATCTATTTCTCAGTTGCTTATATTATTTACATAATGTCATGTTTCAGGTGTACCAGATGCCCGGGCTCCTGTAGTGACATATCCGAGTGACATGGATGGTGTCCCTAAGATGTCATTACCTGTTTTTGGCCTTGCTTCATACAAATTCAGAGGGTCCTTGTGGACTTCTAATGGGGGATTTGAACGCCAGTTAGCTAATTCCCTCTCGCAGGCTGCTGACAACTTTCTAAGAGTGCTGCGGGTCAATCACCCTGATTTTGTGTTTTTCAGCCGTAGATGATTTGAACTCTGAAGATGTTACTAACTGTGTTGCTACCACCGTTCTAGAAGTGAAGCCTGTTTGCATGAGTTACTTGTGAAAAAATCCCTGTGTTGTGTGAAATTCAGGGTCGCAAGTTGGTATGCAGGGATTCCCTCGTTTTGGTTTTCTGTTATTTTACTACAGGAGAAAGAAAGGAAAAAGAAAAGGAAAAGGAAAAGAAAAGGATGAAGGCAACTTAAAGAAAAGTGAAGCTTTGGCATGTGATGTGATGAAGGACGCAATAACCTCAGCGAAAAGTGAATAGAGGAAATATAGTTAGATAAGCTATAGATGGTCAAGCTAATCAAAGTTGCTTTTTAATGGAAGCAAGCTGTGTCTTGCTTGTTTTCTGTATTTTGTTCTTAGTAAGGAAGGGTATATTATAAAAGAAAAACCAGGCTTTTTTTTTATGCCGTGATGATGATGATGATGTTAGCATGTGTAATTTTATCTATGAGGGGATTTTGATATAGAGATTGTATTTAAAGTGTTTAGCTTGAGCTTCCCGTATGCGTTTTTGTTTGGAGTCACAACCGCCCGCTTTTTAACTCTATCCAACTAATTGTGTTTTATAGCGTAAAGATTGTTGATTCTGCTCTGTGGGTTTAAGCAGCAAAGAGGCTCTTCAAACCAAATTATTATTATTTTTAAAATTTCAGCGCAAGAAAGAGAAGAACACAGCGCAAACGGGAAACAATTTTCAGGGGGTAGGAAAGGAAGATCAGAAGTCCAACACAAAGGCTCTGGGAAATCATATGTTTTACAGCAAATGAAAATTCAAGATCCATCAACTTCAACTTCATTATTAAGTAGGTCATGGAACTTAGTGTCCAAAGCGTCGGAACACATCTGACTCATAATGCGGTAGAAAGACAACAAATCAGATAGCTGCTCTATCGACATCTTCCCAATTATGGCCTTTGCAACTTTCTCCCTCTCCTCGCCCATCTTCAGTCGTTGTATGTATGCCGAAGCATTTCTTACCGTTGCCCCCATCTGCTTCAGCCTTTTCTCTTGCTGCAAACTCAGTGCTGTATTTGCCTGCATATACCACAACATTAGACCATTCAAATCGAACGATGACGGCTAATGTGATTATAATCATCGTTTAATCACTCACCTCCAGAAACTCTGCTCCAACGTCCAGTTGATCAGATTCTTTGCCTGAAACAATTCCACGCCTAGAATACATGTTTTTGGCAATAGAGAAGCTCCGTACAATACTATTTCTCTTCATCTCTTGGTCCTGATCAAGCTGTGGAGCCTTTGGCACACCTGCCGAGTTTTGACTGAGCTTCTTTTCATAAGCTCTCACTGCTTTAACAAATTCCTGCATGAATGATAATATTAACCATGACAAATGACACGCAACAAACCACAAACATGAAAAAACAAAACAATAGAACAAGTTAATTAAGGTCTTACCCGATATGCAGCTGCGCATCCTGGATATTCGAAGTTGTCTGAATCCTGTTGTCGCATTCTCTCCGGATGGAATTGAAGTCCCATAATAAACTTACCCTCCTCAGGATTATAAGCATCCGGATCATAAAACCCTTCAACCAACCCATCAGAAGCGAAAGCCATCGGCGCGAATCGCTCTGCCAATCTCTTAACCCCCTGATGGTGATAACTATTCACCCACATCTCCATTTTCTCATCATCCAAAGAATCTTTGAACCACTGATGCAAAGGTGTATTCTCCACCACCTTCACCCCATGTCTATGCCCATCATAATTCTCATAGTTTATGTGAGCCACTCTTTGAGCGCAACTCTGATCTGGGCATTCTTTTGAAAGTTCTCTCTCAACATCTTGATAAAGTGTGCCTCCGCATGCAACATTGAGGACTTGGGATCCTCTGCATATTCCCAAGTAGGGGATGTTTCTTTCTAGGCATAGCTTTGCAAGCCCCAGTTCAATGGAGTCTTTCTCTTTATCAATGGCGGTATCGCTTGCATGTAGCTTGCCAATTTCTTCTAGCTCGCCTGGAGAGAAACCAGAGAGTTGCGCATCGTAATGGGACGGATCAATGTCTTCGCCCTCGCAGAGAAGAACTCCATGTATTGGTTCAAAGCTTTGGAGTAGCATGTGGACTCCACTGACTCTGGGGACAATAACAGGTACTGCTCCATAGCTTACAATTAGATCTAGATGATATTCTCCTGTCCCATAAGATGTTTTAATAATCAAAATTAAAATCAAGAGCAACTGAATGATTTTATTTGATGTTTGAAATAATAAAAACCAAATTAAGTTTATGATAACCAAAGGTATTGTAAGTATAAGAACTGCTGAGAAATCTGAGTAACAGCATATTATATTCCCAGGAGATGGATATACGTAAAAAGTTGATAGCCAAAGCCAAACAAAGTAACAAACAAAGAGATAGAGACTAACCCACGAAATCTACAAACTTGTTCTTGCGGAGGGTTCGTCGAGAGACGATAAGAACCCTAGGCAAAACCATTGACGCATCGGAATTAGCCATTGATGAAAACAGTAAGTAACGTTGCACTGGACGAAGATCAATTATCTCTAACACACACACATATATATATATATATATATAGAGAGAGAGAGAGAGAGAGAGAGAGAGAGAGAGAGAGAGTAAGATGAGTATAAATATAACGAGAGAGTGATGTGGATGGATAGGGATCTTCAGAATGAGGTCTTAAGAAACGACGTGATAGTTGGTAATTATGTGAATGGAGAGCAATCTGCTAAGATTACATTTTGTTTCCTTGTTTCATGGGTTGGATTTTGTTTTCTTGTTTTGCGTTTTGTAATAAGATCATAGACAAGATCGAGTCTAATTAAGTGGCTGCCTCTCTTCTTAATATAGTAATTACGATGATGATGACCAAATTGAAGATTTGCTCTTCGTCTTGGCTCCGCGTATGGCCTTTTTTGGCCAATGCTTATGCTTTATTTTCGTGCCATGTTTGTTAGCTTTGCGTTATTTTAGGAATTTGGATAATTACTTAGCACCAAACCCAAAAGTCAAACTGAGAGTGAGTCAATCATACAGTCATTCATTCGTATGTGGATTGATATTTGGGGACCCTTTTGTGGCAGAAACAAACAACAAAAAGCCCAAACCACCTCTAAATTGCCGAAGGCCCAAACTCGGACAGCCCGGGCCCGACAAAAGTCCATATACTTGGTCAGCTTTAAAAAGATCCGGTTCTATGTTTAGGTTTAGGTATTAAACAATCACTAAGTAATCCTTAACCAATTACCAAAACAAGAATCTCAAAAGCATGTGTCCCTCTCATATGTAAAATGTAAATCTGTAACAAAAATAGTAAAAAATTATCACCCAATGTCATCATTGTTGGTGCTAAGTATGAACAATATCACTACATTAACGGCTAGTTGATGCATTATCGTAGAATGATTAATTATTTACTCGCAGAGATATAGATAATGTTAATTTGTGTGAGTACATACAACGATCAATCTACATCAAACACCCATCCATCATTGAAGGTGTGACCTCCTACATCCGGTAGCACAACCGGCAAACTGGCGCTCCGACAATCCAACCGCGCTCCTGCTGACTCTCTGTCCAAACCCATTTATGTTTGTAGATGTTAATAACGTTCACACCCCCACCACCGCACTTGAAGACAAACTCTAGCTGCCTCATCGCCCCTTTTTGAAGTTTTTATTTTATTTTTTATTTTGCAAGAAAAAGCAACAAGTGAAACTCCAATCCAAATGTAGGAAACCTAAAGCAGGGCAGCGACAAATTCCCGATTTTCTTCACCCAAAGAATAAAAAGAAAAAAGAAAAAACGAAAGTTGCCTACTTTCTTTTTCATCAAAAGCAGAGATATTTTCAGTGAACCCAACCACACACACTCGCTCGCACAGAGAGAGTAATGGCAGTCTCCATACCCATAGTGGCCATCGTCACCTCTCTGCACCTCATCGCCTTCGTTTTCGCCGTCGGTGCTGAACGACGCCGTAGCACGGTAACTTCATATCTCTCTCTCCTCTCCCTCTGTGTTTTATTGAAGTTAAAAGCCCTAACCTTTTTTGTGTTTGCGTCTGTGAAGGCTAAGATAGTGCCTGATGAGTACGACGAGCGCACCTACTGCGTTTACGGGACGGACGCTTCTACGGCGTACGGATTAGCGGCGTTTGGGCTGCTTTTCGTCAGCCAGACGGTGCTAAACGGCGTCACGAGGTGTCTCTGCTGCGGCAAAGGCTTAGTGACTGGCAGCTCCACCACTTGGACCGTCTTCTTCTTCGTCTTCTCCTGGTAAATTTACCATTTTCTCCCCCCTCTTGTTTTGTAATTTCTTGTTTATCTTATTAGTAATTTAGTACACACTGGTCCCACTGGAGCGTCTTAATCTCAGCTTGAGGGTTGGATCAACGGTCAGAATCCTTCCATCTTTAGTAGAACTTAGAAGGAAGGAATCAGATTCAATCTACTAATTGGGTTTCCAATTATGACCAAATTACTTGTTCATTTGGTTAATATGTCACTCATCAGTTGTTTATGAGCCACCACCTGCCCTGCCCTGTCCACCGCCGCCTACGTGTTTTTTTGTGATGGCGAAAATCTGAGACTTCTGCACTTGCTTTTAATAATTGCCACAGTGCCACTCTACGTTTAGATGATCTATAATAGTTTATTGTAGTTGTTACACAGTTACAGTGTATTCATTTTTGTTTTTCATTTGTCTGGAATTTGGTAAAGAAAAGTTAAAGTAGATTAAGTCATGATTTAGACCCAATTCCCTTACTTTGGCCCCTACCCTTACTTATCGTTTCCCCTTTATCGATCCGAGAGTGCTTTAATTTCAACATCTTTGACATTACGCATTGTGGAACTTATCAATGGATGATACAGGAGCATATCCAAAACTTTTCCCAAAGTTTGGTTCTTAAACAATGTTATAGACGATATGGCAGTATCTTGTTAGAAATAAGCGTGGGGTTAAGTGGGTGTAGATATGAACGCATGAAACACTATCGCTTCATTAAACTACATTGGTTTAGAGTTGGGACTGTTTTGGTATCTCTAGCATTACTTACTTGGAATAGTGACAACCCAAATAAACAGTACGGATTTGGCGCATAACCTCCATTGTGAATTTTTTGTTTTTACCTTGTTACTCCAGCGCGCTTGAGCCTTGAGTGAATGCTGTTCCCTACTCTCTAGTATTATATTTGTGTAAATGATCCCATTTGCTTCATTTTGCTAAATCAAAATCTGAAGACTCTGAACTATGAATTAATTAGGACAAGCTTTTTGGGAGCCGAGGCATGCTTATTGGCAGGGTCAGCAAAGAATGCGTACCACACCAAGTACCGGGGAATCTTTAACGCAGATGACTTGTCCTGTTCCACTCTGCGTAAGGGCGTGTTTGCAGCCGCGGCTGCTCTTACACTGTTGTCATTAGCAGGGTCAAGTTTTTACTACTGGGCACATTCCAAAGCTGATACTGGGGGATGGCAGAAGCACAGAAACGAAGGCCTTGACATGAGCACTTCTAATTATGCAAATCATGAGCAGCAGCAACAGCAAACCAGTGGATTTGAGAAGGTATAGCTCTGGTATTTGACATTTTCGTTTTGTTGGGGGGCCATATATGATTGTAATATGAGATTGAGTAGATCAGTTCCATAGTTTTGGTTGGTGGCTTCTTCTGTTGGAGGAGAGGGAAAACTTGTATGGGGCAAATATGAAATGGTCCTTCATGAGCCAAAAGACTTGTATATGCTATGTCATCATCATGTATGTTTTTTTTTTTTATTTGTTACGGATGTCATCATGTATGTTACCAAGACTCCTTTCCCATCTTTCTGGATTTGTGGTATGTATATAATTCTCTGCTTAAAATGCTTTTTGTATGACTCCTTTGCCATCTTTCAACCCTATTTCAAAAGAATGTTACGAGTTCTCTTGACTGTCTATCTACTAACTATTTACGAAAGAAGTCCAATGTTAATGGGTTCATTCTAAATTCTTGCCTGTGTCTAAGACAATCTTACCAGGACAAACAAGAAAGAACCAAACAAATTGAAAAATATTTTTAAAGCCATTACATGATCTAGCAATAAGCTGAAAACTCCATAAAGTTGAAGATCAGCCTGGTGTTCTTCGCGTTATAAAGAAAATGATACATGATCAAGAACACGAACGGATCATAAATCAAAGGCCTAAGCTTTTCAAAATAATATCAAAAATTAAAAAGTCAAGTCCTTTTCCGCAGCAGATTACACTGTGTGTAATGAGTTATTATTGGAATTAATATCGCCATGCGTTAACAAACGCATCCTCTGAAATTGGGAATTGCTATTTCCACAAAATGAAGTTTTAGATTTTTTAAAATCAAAGCCCGGTAGCATTAGGTTATTCACTAATTGGACGTATATGAAAATTAGGCATATAATTAGGAAAGCCATATATTATATATAAAGCCGCTTCTAAAAGCTTAACGGCAAGAGCAACAACAAAACCAAAACCAAAAATAAAAAGCTTCAACACAGACAATAACTAGGCATATACGTCCATCTCTCCCAAGTCACAAGGGCCTGGGAAAGCCAGGACCATTATTCTTTCTTAATACCAACACCACTCACTCCTATTGGCCAATGCTGCTACTAATCAAGATCATAAACAAAAACACAGTTGTAATTAAGATATAAAGCGAGCATCAAACTTGAGATGATTAGCTAGGGCATGAGGGAAATGGGGAGCCACAAGTGCTTGCCACCTTCTTGGCGTTTGGGGAGTTGACCAGCTTCTGGAGGTTAGGGTCCTTGACATACTTGCAAAGGCAAGGCCTCTGCTCCTTCAGTTTGCCGCAACATATGGCAGAGGGAGGGCTTGAGGATGTGATTGCTGTGGCGCATGGAGCTAGCTCCAGTGGGCTGCAAGTCACTGCTGCCGTACACACCTGGCTTCCCCCAAAGACAAGAACAAAAGCTACAACGCACAATATTGCAACATTATAATAACACACTGATTTCATCTTCAGCGTTCAACCAAACAACCAATGTATATGTTATTATGTATGTTATGTTGCTGTTTGTAACTAAGAGTCAGAGAGAGAGAGAGAGAGAGAGAGAGAGATGGGTGCAGTGCAGCTCTAGCTAGGTCTCTTGGCAATTTATAGAAGAGTGGCAAAGGATTGCGATCAGTTTGAGATTAATCGGAGAGATTATTATTTTTTAAATGATTACACTAAACTAGTAGGATATTAACCAAAGTGCCCCACCTCACCCATATGCTTAACATAACATGATTAGCCACTGACCAGGATTTACCTATTTAAATCACATTGCATTTCCCCTAATGGCTTTATCTTTTTGAAGCGAACATTTCGCTTTTAATATCTTGTCATTGTGGCAAACGGGGTCTAGCTCAGTAGAAAGAGCCTTGAGTTGCAGGACAATAATCTCATATTCGAACCCTATAATACCTTGTAGTTTAAACCATCACTAATATTCAAATATATATAGCCGCTGTGATGATGATGACAAGCTCAACACCGAAAGATCAACATTTGCCATCTCTTTCATCACCAGTGCTAATTTCATTTGGTCAATGGTCAAATATTACTAGCCAGTCTAAATCACAATCTTCTTTTGATGTTAAAATGATGTTAAAATGATGCGAGTTTATGCATGCCACTGCCATTATGCCATATGTGCACTAATGATGATTGTTGGATGGAGCATGCTTAATTATCAGTGGCTCATGTGGTTCAGATCCACCGCACCCTTTTTTATCCAACTTGTGGTCCACTCTAGTCACAAAAGCCACACCTTATTTACCACTTCCCTCATCCAAATAATAATAATAATAATAATAAAATCTCAAACTCTGTAATTATTAGCAACACTAATTACTCTAACCACCATGTCAAAAGAAAAACAAAAATCCAAAGATTGGGCTATATAAGTCGTTTGGCAATCGCATTATTCGTAGATTTTAGGCCCATGACAAAGCCCAAGGCCCAAATAATTCATCCAAAGTTCAGCCCAGGACCCAACTCCTCTTTTTTATTTTATTTAAATTTATAAAGAAAATCCTGATTATTGAAAGTGATGGGCTAATCAAATAATTATACGTGTATTAATGTTCGAATTATTTTCTTGGGTAAACTACAGTAAACCCCCCAACCTATAAGGTCATTTACGAGTTCATACTTGATTTTGGGGACATTTACGAGTACATACTCAACGTCACGGAAGACCTACAAATTGCTCCCTTCGTTAGCCAGATCGTCAGAAAATCCGTTATATGCCTACGTGACATTTGTGGGACCTATTTTTAATTGACGTGGAGTTCCATGTGGACAAAAAATAATATATTTTTTATTTTTTAAAATTATTTTAATAAATTAAACATATTAAATTAAATTTAAAATTTAAAAAAAATTTAAATTTTTTTTAAAAAAAACATACCCAGATTCTCTCTCTCTCTCCCGATCTCCTCTCCTCCTAGCCCTCAGCCACCCAAACCACCACCTAAGCCTACTCAGGCCACCTATCCCAACCTTAACACCTCTCTTGTTCTAGCCCAACCCATCACCTCCCCCATGCCACAGATCTGATTGTTTTCCCCAAAACCACAAACCCCAAAACGATGATCGTTTTCCCTAAACCACAAATCCCACATATCTGATCGTCCTCTTTCGCATCAACCATCTTCCCTGCATAAAGAAGTTTGACGTCGGTTTGTAGTGAAGTTTAAGCTCTTTTTTAAAATTCTCTGTCTCTCAAGTTTGGTTATATTTGGATCATTTATTTTGCTTGTTGAAATTTAAGAAGAAGGAAATGTGCCATTCTTTTATGAAGTCTGAAAACAAAAATTCCCTTAAAGTGGAACAACATAAGATGATGCCCATGTTATATAAAGTAATTACACTAACAGTTTTAATATAGGCAAGATGATCTTTGGGCAGGGAAGAGGTTAAGAATGGCATTATATGGGCAAGATGATCTCTAACATAGCGAACCCAAACCCCACAACGTCATCCGACACCGATGGAGTCGTCGTCGCTCATAGGCCTTCGCAATTCCGCCGCTGCTACTCTTGGATCAATCGTCCCCAGTAGGCAGCATGCGACATCGTCCACTTGCCGTCTCTTCCTCCCCAGCAACTTAGGCTGGTTGCAGAAGTGGGTTACAATGGCTCGGAGGGTGTGGGGAGGGTGGGCTGGAAGGGAAGGGATGGAATGGGGTTGGTGCATCTGAGTTCTTCTCCAAGCTTCTCTCCGGTGAAAAAGATAGCGGCTGAGGATGGGGGCGCAGGTGCTGGGTTTCTGGGGGGAGTTGGTGATGGCTGAGGGATTTAGTCGGGATTCATATTGTGGGTTGGGTTGGGTTGGAGAAGGTGATAGGAGGAGAGAGAGGATGACGGTTGAGAATGGAGGGGGATATCGGAGAAGATGGATTTTTTTGTTTGTGTTGGGCTGCCATGGGTGGGTGTTGAGGGAGGGTTGCGACGGGGGAGAGTGGTGGGTTCTTCTAGGTTGGTTTTTTGTTTTGTTTTTATTTTTTATTTTTTATTTATAATCAATTTTAAAATAATTTTAATGATTTAAAATTAGTTCATAAAAAAATGAAACAACATTCGCCACATAAGCAAATAACAGATTTCCTGACGATCTCGCTAACGGAAGGGGCAATTTGTAGGTTTTCCATGAAGTTGAGTATGTACTGGTAAATGTCCCCAAAATCGGGTATGGACTCGTAAATGACCCTATAGGCAATGGCAAAACCAACATGGGACCAGTGTGGTTCCAGGCCCCCACTCCAATTATTTATATATTTATTTGTATATTATATATGATATAATATTATAATATATTATATTAATTTTAGCATATTTATTTCACAATAAAATAATATATTAGGTTCTTTTTGTCTACAAATTAACCATAAAATTTCTTGTCTCTCTTTTACTCATCTCTCTTAAATCTTCTAGGTTAGTTTATGATATTTGCACTAAAAACTCCTAAAGTTTTAACCTTTCTTTCTCTTCCTCTTTTGTTTAAAGCTTTATGAATTTTTTATTTTCCTCATTTCTTTTTGTGTATGAGTTGGGTACCTTAATCTTGCACTTTATGAACTCTTTTTTGTTTTTGTTTTTCTATTTCTTTTCTCTTTTGGAATATAAATGATCAAATTTGAAGTCTTTAATAGTGTAGATGATTATATTAGTATTTAACCAATTTAAAATATGAAATTCATGATAATTATGAAGAGAAGACAAAGTTTAGGGCCCCCTCTAATGTGAAATCCTGGCTCTGCCATTGCTTATAGGTTGGGGGGTTTATTGTAGTTTACCTTATTTTCTTTCACAAAAATGCGATATACAAAAACCATTAATAGATATTTAATACAGCGTGAATTTGATTTTATTATCCTATTGATCTGAAATAGGCATGTGAAGCAATCTTGTAAGCCATGCCAAGGCCATTCCTTTCTTCCATGAAGTGATTTTCTTTGCTACCAAAGCTTAATTAGGAGCACGCTTCTTTTTGTATATATAAAGACCTAGAACAAAACAGGGGCAGCAGCAAGCACTGTTGCAAGCTAAGACGCGGTGACATTGAACAGAACCATATCAACCAACCAACCAACAATGTCCATGCGTCAAAGGCCACTACATGCCATTTTTGGAGGAGGAAAGGGTAAAATCCTACATAAACATGGTACCATGATTTGCTGCACTTTTCCTTAAATTGGTTTTGGTTTTGGTTTTGTAGTGGCTGACATACTGTTATGGAAGGACAAAACATCAGCGGCTACAATCTTAGCTGTGTTCACCATAATATGGCTTCAACTTGAAGTACTAGAATACCAGTTTTTAACTGTTTTTTGTGACATCCTCATGCTGTCTATGCTTGCCATTTTCGTCTGGCACAAAGGGGCACAACTAGCCAACCTGTAATGTTTTTTTCTTCTTCTTTCTGACAAAGCGATATTTTAAACTACTCTAATTCATGTTCCTTGTTAGGTATGGTTTTAGGTCTCCAAGCTTGGTCTCTTACATCTGGAGTCCGCCAAATAGCAGTAACTTTCAACTCTCAGAATCGACTTGTAGATGCTTCTTTCAGCAAATTAACTTCTTTTTGTTCAAATTCTTTGAAATTTCAGCCGGAAAAGACTTGAAACTCCTAGTTTTGGTATGCAATTTTACTTTTCCTCACCAGTTTACCCTGACCATTCTCTAAAGATTTGACACTGATGTTAAGTGCTCAATATACAGGCAATGGTTTGTCTATGGATGTTTTCAGCTCTAGGAGATTGCGTCAGCTCTGTAAGCCTTTTATATACATGTAATATCCCAGACCAACATAAATACATACACATATTTGTACTGCAGATATATTTGTAATTTCCTTATTTGAGAGCCTAACCGAACCAGTTTCTGTTTATTGGTATGAAGGCACTCTCCTTCTCGGAACACTGCCTGCTTTGTATGAGAGATATGGTGTTCCTTCTGAGGTCGATACATTTGCTGCCAAATGCATCCAAGAGGTGAAGAAATTGTTCCAAATGTTTGAGTCCAAAGTTCTTAACAAGATTCCAGGAATGGGGAAAGAAAGAGTAAATTAGATAAAATAATTCATCAGATTATATATTCAATTATGGATTAGTATCAGATTAGGTTCTCTTGAGTATTCTCTTCTGCTTATCACTAGCAATATAGTATTGAAGTATTGAGGGTAAATAATCCCACATTCAAATTGACATGTTATGAGGAACTCAGTGTGGTCTTATCCATTAAAATAAGTATTTATGGCATGAACAACTTTACTTAATTACTATTTACCAGAGCCTCCCTCATTTGACATGGTGAAAATTCAGAATAGCATCAACAATTGGGTTTTTAAGTTCCCATTGTCGACAATCGAGATGGTTCTCTCTGTACTTTTTCAATTGATCTAATAAAATACTATCGCTTGTTTGGTCAAACAAGTTCCCATTGTTATACAGTTATACTACACTCGATCCAAATGGTCACACATCATTACTCTAGCTACTATGTTACTTCTCTTCTAGAATAATCTGGAGGAAGACAAGATGACGAGAAGCTAGATATAT